TGGGGGGGGGGGGAGGGGCCGGGTGCGGCAGGCGGCGGCGAGGCCAACTGCCACCAGTTGCACGCGGCGGCTGTTGCATGCGGTTCCGACGCTCCCCCTGCGAGTTCCCTGCGCCACCTGAGCGGCGAAGGGCCCTCTGGCTTGGGTGCGTCTCCCCCTCCCATTCGCTCAAGCTGCCACCTGGTCTGGAGCTGCAAGCGGAGCCGCAACGGTGGATGGGCTCAGCAGCGTTTGTAGACAACGTAGCGAGACTCCGGCAGGTTGCAGAGTCCGAACTTGGCTGCTCCCAACTCTTTGCAGTACATTTGCCACTCTGCGTGTTTTAAACTAAAGCCATGATATTCATGCACCCCACGGGCACCGATGTCAATGCTAGGCAGGGCTAGGAGGGAAGGCCTCCCCGCCCCGCCCGCCACCGCCGCCGCCGCCGCCGCCAGCTGCAGCTCCAACTCCTGGACCCATCTTTGGTATCATCTGCTGAGATCCAGCCCCTCCAGGCGCAGCCGCCAGCCATACACCTCCTGCACGCGGGCCTGTGCCGCGTCCACCGCCGCGCCACCAGTGGTGGCAAACCAAACGTGCCGTTGCGCCAAGCGCCGCACGGCCAGTAGAAGCAGGCGAAGCTGCTCAAGGTCCCGGTTTGCTAGGAGGGCCGCTGCTGCATGCTGTATGCTGCTGCCCAGCGCCTGCACGCCCTGCTGCACCCTGGGGCGATGGAAGCCGGAGCCAGGTGGGCTGCTGCTGGCGCCACTGCCAATCGGATGGGAGCCCTCCCTGCACTTCGCCTGCCGCTGCACAGCCTGCACACCATCTTGCTGCAGGCTGGGCAGCTGGGGTGAGGGCTGCAGGCGGTCGCTGCCTGCAAGTGGTGGCGCTGCTGCCTCTTCAGCTGGAACCACCTCGTGACCGTCCACACCCACCAGCTGCGTGGGAGGCACGTCCACATCCATGCTGCTGCTGCCACCGCTGCTGCCTGGAGGTGCGTCCCTGCTCCCCCTACTTCTGCTACCTGGCTCTTGCGATGGCGAGGGAGAGCGTAGACGGGGTGCAGGCACGCCGTCGCCATCCCCATCAAGCTGCGCCGGTAGCTGCTGCAAGCACTCTGCCAGTGCAGCCGCCAGGCTGCTGGCAGGGTTGGGCCTGGCTTCCGCTACCACCACATCTGCCGCCTGCAGAAACTGCTGAACCGCGTCCGGCAGCTGCTCCAAATCTGCATCCACCTGCTGCCGCTCCAGGCCTGCCCCATTCATGCCCCGAGACACCAGCCCACAGACAGTTCCCCCGGCCACAGCCGCCAGCTCCGCCTCCTCCAGCCCCTGCTGCTGCCGCTCCTCCTCCCACCGCTGCTGCCATGCCCGCTCCTCGTCGTGCTGCTGGCCCAGGCGGGAGCGGTGCTGCCGCCGCGTGTGCTGCTTGCTGTCATCTTGCTGCAGTTGCTGAACCACCTCGTGCCGCACTTCCGGCGGCAGCTCCGCCAGCACAGAGGGGTCCACCTGAGACAGAGACATCTGCTGCTCACGACGGGCTGCTGCTGCTGCAGCCAGGGCTCGGCCGCTGCCAGTGATGCCCAGGGGTGGAGGGTTGGACACAAAGGAGTCGATGCGCTGGCGCTTGCTGACGTGGCGCAGCAAGCCGCCAGACCCAGCACCGCCATGATGGCCGGCTTTATCTCCACGGCGGCCAGCGGGGCCGGCAGGTGGCAGCCGCCTCCTGGCCCGGCCAATGCCTGCGGAAAGAGGCAAAGTGAGAGGAGCGACTGCCATAAGTGCCTATGGAATTCAAGCAGAAAGGGTTAGACAACCGAGACGTGGGACCACACAGGCCAGCATCAACAGAGCTCACAACAAGTGGCTTTGTCACCATAGCCCTCCCTCACCATAGGCGTGCTCCAGCTCCCGGCGCAGCAACAGCGGCAACGCATCCAGCACTGAGCGGTCCACCTGGGAGAGGGCCGGTAGTGCCACAATGTGCACGCTAGTGCCGCCTGTCCCGCCGCTGCTGCCACCTGCAAAAGCCCTGCTTTCACCAGATGCATTGCTGGCATGCTGCTGCTGTTCCTGGGCAGCCAAACCATGTGGAGGTGGCGTCCCAGCTGCTGCTGCTTCATCTGCACCTGCTAGCTGCGAATTTGTCTCCCACCCATCCTCTCCATCACTAGACAGCTGTGGCTGCGGTGCCTGCTCATCTTGCTCCTCCGGCCCTGGTATTTCTGCCAAAGGTCTGCTGCCATCCGCCCTGAGCCCTCCCGCACCCTGCGCTGCTGCTGCCTCCTCAAAGCAGCCTGCCAATGGCCGGCCCACTTGCTTCTGCCGCTCTTGAAAGTGGTGCGCATTTCTTTGTGCCGCGGCTTCAATGAGCTCCTTGCGGACAGACCACGGCAGCGCATCCAGCACGGAAGCATCCATCTGTAGCAGGGGATGAGCCACCGGCCTCATGATCAAACGCAGCAAATAGAGCACTGCATTCTTGGAAGCCTGGAGAGGCATAGGTGCATGCCCTTGGGACCTCCAACACGCAAGCACATACCTGGGATAGTGACACGCCTTGCCACTCGTGCAGCAGCTGCTGCCGCCTCTCTGCATCCTCTGCAGCCGGGCTGGCCGCCGCCTGGCGCGGCAGTACAGTCTCCAGACGTGCCTGCCTGGCGCTGTCCGGGCTCTTCTTGGCGCTGCCGGGGGATGCAGCCAAGGCCTGCGGCCGTGGTATGCTGTGTGCCAGCTCCATCTGCTGTTGGACGACTTGTTGCTGGCCAACATCCTGCTGCTGCCGAGGTGGAAGGTTCCCTCCCAAAGCTTGATCCTGCTTGTGTTGCTGCTGCTGCTGCTGTTCCCGCTGTTGCTGGTGGTGCTGTTGTTCCTCCTCGCCCATGTGGCCCTGCTGAGCCTGCTGTGGTGAGACCTGCGACGGCTGATCCTTCTTGAAGAAGGCTACAAAGGCATCCCGCTGGCCAGCCGCCGCGGGTGCAAGCCTGGCAGGCAGCGCAGCGCCCGGTCGCACCGAGGAAGAGGCAATGTCGGTATTCAGGCGAGTCACCTGCGCCATTGTGGCAGTAGATGCTGAGGTTGCAGCACAGCAAAACAGCAACATGTGCGCCAAACCTCGCGCAGCATTCACAACTTGCTCAGGCAAGAGGCAGCGACCCACCGTAATGCCCATGCCCCGAATGTCTGCAAATGGGACCTTGAGCGCGCACAACAGCTGCCAGCAGTGGCTGGCAATCTCCTTGCTGCTGTCGGTGGCGCTTGCCAGGGTAACTGAGCGCGAGAGGTTGTCACAAATTCCATGCCCCATGTGCTTGACCGGCTCCGGGGCTCCCTGCACAGGAGGGTGATGCACCCGTCCAGCAGATATAGTTGGCGCCCCCTCATGTGCTGCACAATCATGCGGGCACAGGCCATTCCTCCGCCCATTCATACCGGCTTGCGACGCATGAGCTTGAGCGTGAGGGTGCGGCCCTTTGCCCCCGCTTGCCCCAGTCGATCCTGGACCTCCACAGCTGCAAGGCAAGTGATGCGCTGGGGACTCGCCAAAACTAGATTCTGCTACTGCAGCAGTGGCAAACCGCAGGCAGAGGCGCACCCAATTTGTGCAAGAACTCGCGCGACTGTTCGACACTTTGGAAGCGCACACCCCAGTTGACCTCCGCGCCCACAGACTTGCGCGCCCGCGGAGGCTCCACCTGCCTGCAACACAGCATGGCCGACAGGCGGGGATCTGCTGCTGGCCGTTGGACAAATACAGGGCACACAGAACATTCAGAATATAAGGACTTGCCTCTTGTCCTTGCCGTGCGCAAAATCCCACAGCATGGCGCCCTGTTGTGCACCCAGCTGCATCTGAAGGAACTGTTTTGACCGAGCCTGCAGGCAGCACAGGCAGCCGACAGAGGAGTATAGAATACCCATGAGTTGCAGTGAGCGTTTTCGGCTGCAGTGCCGAGGAAGAGCTGTTATCCAGACTGGCCACCCATGCCCGCCACCTGCACATCTGCCACCGAATGAATGTCATGCTCCGCCAGACGCTTTCCAGTTGCCCAGCCCACGCCCGGGAGCTTGCTGACGTCCAGACCCTGCACAAGGCAGAGGGCGATTGGCATGAAGCGCAGACAAGGCACCGAACATATGTGCTGGCAGGTATGGATGGACTCCATTGAAAGCAAGCTGCAACGGCTCCACTGCCATAGCTGGCCTGCTTGCCTGCAAGAATTGGTCCGCTTGCTGCTGCGTCACCATCATCTGCCCATTGGGCTTAGCGCTCTCGGTGGCAATGCGGGCGAGCAGAAGGTTAGGGCCAACGCCAGCACTGGCTGCAAACAGCAGCACACAAAATACAAGGGTCAAAGACGATGGCATGGCATGCTGTGCTGCAGATGTGGCACTGGGCCATCATAGCAGTGCCAGCACTCACCTGTGCAGCCTGTGGTGGCCTCGATCTCGGCCCGTATCTCTGCTGCCAGCTGCAGCGGGTCGCCCAGACCTGTGATGTCCAGGTACGCCTCATCACAGCTCAGGGGCTGCACGCAGGCGGTGCGCTGCAGCAGAATGCGGTACACCTGCATGCCCAGGGCTAATGCAGGGGTAGATGCTCAGAAACATGTCCGCCAATTCGCTCTATGCGCCGCTGCACACACATGCTTCACACAACTGCCCACCCACCTTCTCACTAACTGACGCGTACTGCTCAAACAGGTAGGGCACCACGACCAGCTGGGGGCACAGCTCCTTGGCCTGGCTGATCATCATGCCCGACCGAACCCCATACTTGCGAGCCTCGTAGTTGGAGGTGGACACCTCGCCCGTGCCCCGGCTGCTGGCAGAGTGGCACACCGCCTACACAAGCGGGAAGCCAATTTGGGAAGGGATGCAGTGCAGTGCCTCAGTTTGGCGGTGCGCCTCAAGGCAACCAGGTGCCGCGCAAGTCGTCCTCACCAGCGGCTTGCCCTTGAACACTGGATTCTCGGCCTCTGCAACTGCAGCAAAGAAGCAATCCTGCAGGCAGGACAAGAAGAATGCCCATGCCCTGTTTTCACGAAAGACCAGCGCAGATGAAGTCAATGAAAGAAGAGCAGCACTGCCGCAACAGCTCCAGACAACCTGGCCGGCTGGGCAACAGTGGGCTGGCCGTCGAGTGTCCGCAACACCCACCATGTCCAGGTGCACGATGGTGCGCTGGCGGCCGGGCGCGTGTGGTGCGGGGCTTGGCCCCTCAGAGCCGGCGCTGGATGCCATCAGCGCCTCAATGCGAGACTTGTATGTTCCTGGCGTAAAGGGCGGATGAGCAGTGGAATCAGTGCAGGAAAGGGCCCAGTGAATCCACCACGCCTCATTTGCCCTTCCTCAACTCACCAATGTAGTGCAGACGACTGGCCCGGAAATATGAGTCCACAAACTTGGGGTCGTCCTTGGAGGACCGGGGAGGACCCCTGCCAACACCACACAGCAACTCAGGCACGTAAGAAAGAGACTTTGCGGCTTTCTGGAGGATGACGCAAGGGCAGGAAGCCCAGCAGCAGGGCTCACTTGAGCATGTCGCACTCTGCGCGCATCTTGCTGGCAATCTGCTGCGCCCTCTGCATCTCCTCAGCGTCGTAGCCCGCATGGGAGTAGCGCAGGCCTGATTTGTCCCCTTCAAATCTCGTTGGCGACACGGGCCGTGCGCCATGCGTCGCTGCCTGTGCCGCCGCACCCGCCACTGACATGCCGTGCGGCGATCCAGTGCGGGCTGAACCTTGCAGCAATAGTGCTGCTCCTCCTGGGCTGGGGGCCGCCACCTGGGGCATGGCACTCCTGCCAGGCTGCCCATGGGGAGCAAACGTCAACTCAGCTGCAGGCTGCTGCTGCTGCTGCTGCTGTAGGCTTTGTTGGAACAGCTCCTGCTGAAAGTCTGGGGGCGGAATCCTTTGCTGCTGCGTCCGCACATCAAAGCTGAATGTAGGTGATCCTGGGTGCCCATCTAATGCTGCTCCCGCTGCCGTTGATGTTGCACCGGCAGGTAAAAGCCCATCAGGAGTGGCTGCTGGTGCTGCCACGGCTTGCAGCTGCTCCACAGCGCTGCCCACAGCCCCCGCATGGCCTCCATAAATGGCACTGGGCGGCAGCTCCGCAGGCTGGACCTGCAGGCCAGCAGCGCCACAGCTTCGAACTTGCGGCAGCTTCGTAACATCGAGCCAGGCAGCACGACAAGGGAAGCATCGTGCATCTCCAGCTGTACACCTGCATGAAGGCCTTGAGCTTCTGCTGTCCGGGGGCATCGCGCAGCTGCCACAGCACATAGTCCTCAATCTGCAGTGCAGGCCACCAGCATGACAACTAGGGGGCTTCCATGCACGCCAACATCCTCCCAGTGGTTGTACGGCCGTGTCCAACTCCCCAAACGCACTCACCGGCAGCACACGTCCCGCCTTGATGCTGTCCACGATCCACTCTGGGCGCACCACGGGCGTGGGACTGCGCTCCTTCTGCAGCTGCTTCACCTTGGCGTCTGGCAGATTGGAGCATATGACGTGGGTGACTGCAGTGTGGTTTGGAGTGAATAACAACGGATGAGAAGTGAATAACAACGGATGATAACAAAGGGGTACAGCACGCACCACTCTAACTGCACACTCGTGCAACACGCTGTGCAACCGCTCGCCACTCACCTGTGTTGCGGCTGTAGTAGACCTCGAATCGGCCAGAGTGCAGAGCCATCAGCTGCTTCAGCTCTGCGTGGCTGGGGTTGGTGAATCCATTGCAGTGTATTGAAACATCCTTGAACAGCTGGGTGCGCTGCTGGCCCGGCAGCACGGCCGCCTGCGCCTGGAATTGCTCCTGCAGGGCGGGCGGCAGTGGTAAGTGGTAAGAAACAGAAGCGGCGCTGGTGCAAGTCAGTCGACAACCCCTGCCTGTAGCTTGCGGTTCTTGTGCGCCATGTACATTCCAATACTGCCGCCATGGTGCTGCTCCTCGCTCCCATCTGCGAGGATGCGCGGTGGCGTCGGCTCCGTGGGCGGCAAGCGCGCGCCGAGCGGGTTCCGCGACATGTGCGGCGAGGGCGTGCGCCCTGCTAGGAGGGGCTGCGGCGCCTGTCAGCTATTTTTTGCGGCTGCTGTGGATTCAGAGGCGTCCCTCAGGCCCTCCAAGGCTGCGCCGGACACAGGCCGCCGACCGGCCGTGCGTTCACATGACGGGGGCAGTTCCAGTGTATTCTTTGTGCGCAAACACGATTGGCGCGGCGGAAAAAGAACTCCTGAACCGCAGTTTTGCCCTGCTGTACATCGCATTGGCTCTCCGCGAGTTGGCCTCCTGATGTTTCCCAGCAACATACTCAGGTTCCAGCCCCGGAACGCTGCAGCGGGGTTGTCCCTCGCCGCTCTGCCAGCCGGCCAATACCGCTGGGAAGCCCCAGCATGAGCGTCGCGGCGATAAGACGGGCTGCGAGCCTGCCGCTGCGGCACCTCCAGCTGCTGCGAGCAGCAGCCAGCGGCCTGGAGCAGTGCATGCGGTCGGCGGCAGGTGGTGGCGGCAGCAGCGGCGGCAGCACTGCCACGTTGCCTGCAGGTGTGGCAAGCCAGCTGTGGCGTTACGACTCCCCTCTCCTCCGTCACCTGAGTACAGTCGCAGAGGCAGAGGTGCGCTTGCTGTGCTTGTTGCACTCCGCCTGCTCAGCAACACCATTAAGCCATCGCACCGACACATGCCTCTGCTTGCAGAAGCCAGCGTCCGACACCATCCTGCCGCCGTACGAATTGGTCAAGCAACGCGCGGCAGCGGCAGCAGCACAGGGCGGCGGCGCCGAGGCGCGACCGCTGCTGGAGCTGTGGGCTGGCGAGCTCGCGCGGTTTGATGCCCTCATGCGCAACTTTCGAAATTCGGGTGCGGTGAAGGACCAGGCGCTGGCGCTGTACGTCAATAGCAAGGTGAGGGACATCAGCAGCTGCATGGCTGCCTGGCGTCACAGTTCCTGGCTGCTGCCTTCTCCCAGGTTACGTGCATGCCGTGTTTCCATAAACATTGCTCCCCAAACATTGCCCGCAGCTGTATGCGGAAGCCGTGCCTCGCTTTCAGGAGTTTTTGCTGGCAGCCATGGACCCTGAGCTGTGCAGCGCGCTGATGCAGCTGCAGGTGAGGGATGAGTTGGTTGGCTGCTGAGTGCATCATGGCGCAGATCGCCCTTGCAGCGCGCTTGTGCATTACATGTAGATGGAAGGGATAGGGGCGTGGAGCTGTAGTCGCTTGTGCTCATGAGGAAAGCACGCTCCAACACACGTCCCATGCAGCATGGCGAGGACAGCCAGCAGGCACTGTTTCCCTACTTTGCCCAGTTTGTGCTGGAGCGGTACATGGCAGACATCAAAGCATACAGGTACAGTGCTTAGAGTGTTGCAGTTTGTTGGAATCAGAAGAGCAGGACGTTTGCTGGAGGATGTTGTCATTCTTCTGCGCATTGCTTGGGCGTACGTCACACACACGCTGTTGGACGTGGCTTTGGGATGGGGAGCTTGCTGCCAACTGCTCCATGTTGCACAATGCAGGGACATGATCCAGACAGTGGACCTGCGCAACCCGCACCAATGGTTCCCAGTGGCGCGTGCGCTGCAGCGTCGGTGAGCACGGCATGTGGATGAAATGATGATTCGGATATGTACGGTGCTCTTGCAATTTGCTGTGCCCTGGGGGTTCACTACTGCTGTTTAGCTCGCCACCTGCAGCATCATCTACCACGCCGGTCCCACCAACAGCGGCAAGACGTACAATGCGCTGCAAGCCATGCGGTCAGCTCAGTCTGGCATTTATTGCGGGCCCCTCAGGTAGCCACATGGACGGGCCTTGGCTGCATTTTGAGTTTGCACGCCTTCATCACTGTCGCTTAACGCCGATCTGGCCCCTGCCCTCCTGCCTGCCCATCCCAGATTGCTGGCAATGGAGGTCTATGATACGTTCAACGCAGACGGGCTGTATTGCAATCTCATCACTGGTGGGTAACTGCCGCGTTTGCAATCCTCTGGCCAGGTGTCATTACTTCTGTATCAAGCGGCCCGAAAGGGCAGCGGAAGCTGGGGTGGCACCTGAAGCTGTTCAATGGTCATGATGCCACAGGCCAGGAGCGACGTGAGCTGCCTGGTGCGGAGCACACGGCATGCACGGTAGAGATGGTCAACATGCAGCGGCGCGTGGATGTGGCGGTCATTGATGAGATCCAGATGATTGGCGACGAGAGCAGGCAAGAGCTCTGCTGCTGCCGTGCTGGCTGCCACCCTGTTGTCATTAGAGTGCCGTGTTGTTGGGATGGTGTTGTTGTTCATTGCCCGAATGTATGGCTCAGGCAGCTGGGATTTGTTGCAGGGGTTGGGCATGGACACGTGCGCTGATGGGTGCGCCCGCCAACGAAGTCCACCTCTGCGGCGACGGATCAGGTGGGGAGGCATGTTTTGCAGATTCCACCCCTCGATCAGGCCAGACTCGTTGGTCATCCCTGCCTGCCTGCCCTGCCCCACTCTGCCCTACCTTGTCCTGTTCCCTTTCCTGCCACAGCGCTGCCGCTTGTGCGCAAGATCTGCGAGGAGATGGGAGAGACGCTGGAGGTCAACACCTACGACCGCTTCACCACCCTGGAGGTGCGGTAGCGCAGCGTGTGATATGGATGGATGTATCACCTAAGCTCCTCGAGTGCATCTTGTCTGGGTGCTCGTCACGTCTGCTACACCTGCCACAACTGCATGCTCTCATAAGCTAACCGATATCATGTGCACCACTGGCCTACAGGTGGAGCCGGGCGGTCTGGTGGGTGGCTACTCTGCGGTGCAGCCGGGCGACTGTATCGTTGCCTTCAGCCGGAAGGACATTTATAACATCAAGCAATTCATAGAGCAGGAGACCAAGCACCGAGCATGTGTGGTGTACGGCGCACTGCCGCCCGAGACACGGCGCCAGCAGGCCAAGCTCTTCAACGAGCCAGGTGGGTGGCAGACTGAGCAAACAACGTGCGGAGAAGGTTCCGCATGATTGCGTGCTTCACGCTGCTCCTGCTGGGCCAATGCCATCCCATCATGCATGCCACAGTACTCCAGCGGCACGATGTCTGCGCTGCAGACAATGCGTACCGCGTGATGGTGGCCAGCGACGCTGTGGGCATGGGCCTCAACCTGAACATCCGCCGCATCATTTTCCACTCCGTCAACAAACGAGAGGGTGGGTGATGTGGGTGGTGATAGAGATGAAGGGGTAGCTGGAATGTGACGACTATGCGCAAGCGCCCAGCATGCTTCACTCTGAACCCGTGTATGCGCTGTCGATGCAGGCGGCAGCAAGCAGGTGCCTGTCAGCGTCAGCATGATCAAGCAGATAGCGGGGCGCGCGGGGCGGCGCAGCAGTCAGTGGCCAAAGGGGCTGGCCACCTGTCTCAACCCGACTGATGTGCCACGGCTGCAAGAGGCGATCGATGTGCGGGGCTGCACCTGCTGTGGCCAGTGGCCTGCTGCTACATTGTTCTTGCCGCTGCGCCTGCCAGCAATGCTACTGTCCCCTCAGCATGCTGGCTGGCCCGTCTGCCCCACTGCAGGTGCCACTGGATCAGCTGGTGACCCCCACCGCGGGGTTGTTCCCCGAGTTTGAGCACTTTGAGGTGTTTGCAGGGCAGCGCCCGGACGAGCCATACAGGTGGGCAGGCAGCCGTGCAGGCTGCGCCATGCATGGTGCATGAACGCTGTGCATGCTCAACTTGGCAGCGCAACGAGTCTGCAAACCGTCGTCATTCTTTTGTCTGGCTCACCCCCCTGCTCTGCTTTCCCATGCAGCTCGCTGCTGGGGGCATTTGAGCGCGAGGCGCTGCTGGACAGCAGCTACTTCTTCTGCAAGCAGGACAGTGTGGTGCAGGCGGCGCAGCTGCTGGGCGAGGTGCGCCGGCGCGGTGCCCCATCGTGCCTGCGCTGTTGAGAGACCTTGCTGCCTGCTGGCCATGGCCGCTGCAAACTGACAATCTCTCCATGGTCTGCCCATCCTTACAGCTGGGCCTCTCAGTCAAGGACATGTTCTCCTTCTGCATGGCCCCCGCCTCCGCGTCTGACCTGCGCCTCGCCGCGGCACTGCTCCACTTTGCCACCAAGTACAGGTGCGCTGCTGTGCTGCCTGGCTGGTGGTGGTGGTGGTGGCGAAGGCTCTGTTGCGCGGCACTGCGCAGTTTGCATGGCGTAAGTGAGCTACTGCGCTGATCCCCCCCCACCCTGCCCACCTGTGGCGCAGCAAGGGGCTGCCTGTGACGCTCGACATCTCCATCCCCAACCGCGTGCCCGCCAGCACGGATGAGCTGCGCCACATGGAGGCGGCGCACCAGGTGGGCTGCAGCACGCCTGATCTGCTCCCAAGTTCGTGATGCTGCTCCCCGCGTGCTGGCCTCCCGGCCCTGTGATGGAGCCTGCACCTTGGTTATCAAGTGCTCTCGCTTCTGGCCGTGCAGGTGGCCATGCTGTGGCTGTGGCTGAGCTATCGCTTCGACCCTGAGGTCTTCCCGCAGCGTGAGAAGGTGGGAGGCCAGTAAACGACCGTCTGCAGGAGCCTCCCAACGCAGTACACTGCATGGCGTCCCTCTGGAGCTTGCCTGCCCAGCGCCACCCCTGTGCCGCCTGCGTGCAGATCCAGGCTCAGGCAGAGCACATCTGCGGGCTGTTAGATAAGGGCCTCAAGCGCCTGACCCGAATGAGCAAAAACGGCATTGACATTGCAGACCGGGCGAGTAGGCTTGCCATCCCTTGTGCTGCCTTTGGGCTGCATTCCCTACCGTGCTGTTTGCTGAGCACGTCTGCTTTCTGTTGGTTGCAGCCTGCCCGGCGGGAGCATGAGAACATCTTGGAGTGCTTCGACAGTGAGCTCAGCCTCCTGGAGGAGCAGCGCCGGCAGCAGCGGGCAGAGGAGCGGCGGCAAAAGGCGCGACCCCGGCCATACATCGCACCGCCGCACGTGCATGTGTCTGTGTTGGCAGCGGACTTGAGTCATGCGCTGACAGCAGCGCCGCAGCACAATGGTCGGCAGCAGCTCAGGGAGGAGGCAGCTGCTGGCAAGGCGGCGCAGGTGCAGCAGCAGGCGCAACCGCCATCGAATGGAGATCAGTGGGACGGGGGCGGCCAGCTGCAGTGGTCCGCCGAACAGGAGAAGCAGTGGCTGGAGCGGCGGCTGCGGCGGTTGGAGGAACGACGTCAATTGCAGCAGGAACGGCAGCAGCTCCGGCAAAGGCAGCGCTTTGCTGGGCGTGTAGGCGCCACGGCGGGCGTCGATGAGCTGGCACCAGTGCCCAAGCATAAGGGCAAGCACATCAAGGCCCCTGCTACTAACCCAGCTCCGGCTGCGGATGATGGTGGGGTGGCCAGCGATGGTGGCAGCTCGGGCTGGAGCCGCCTGGTGTCCAGCTTTTTGTGAACAGCCCTTTTCAGTTTCATGTCATGCATCGCTAAAAGCAAATGCCTCAACATCATGTGACCAAAATGGGCTGCCTTTTGCAGTGCCTGTCCAGTTCATTCAGGGTGCTCACTGCTCAGGAGCTGGTCGCAGTTGGCACACACAGTCAAAAAGTCGGCCCCCCAGCGCCGCAGCCACCTCGGGGTGCTTGATCATGCCAAGGTTGACCGCATCGCAGCTGCAGCAACCATCAAGAAAAAGGTAAATTGGGGACATAAATTGGGGGTTTGCAGCAGCCATGCTCCGCATGGACACCCAGGAGCCAGGAAGCGCTACAGACTGGCGTCACCTAAAGCGGGCGTGCAGGTTGGTCTCGATAGACCTCCCCATTCCCTCGAGCACCACCAGATCAGCCCCCGCCGCCGCTTCTGCCAGCTCGGGGCTGATCTGCACGGCAGGAACATCGCGAATGGGGTCATGAGCACATCCAGCGTGATCCGGGAGGTGAGCGGGCACTCCACTAATGATCCTGTGCTCCACCGCAGCCTCACTTTCGACAGGTCGATGACTGGCAGTCCCGAGCCGCTGGCGACCACCTGCAGCTGCCTGGTGGAGACCCCCTTGCACAGCTCAGAGTCGGCGGCACAGATCTGCAAGCACACCCAAGCACGAGGGGAAGAACGGGCATGCATCTGGTCAGGGCACAGATGGGATATGCTGCAGTCGGTGTGGCATGCCCCGCAAGCTTGCCACCTGCGGGAGGAGCGCTTCTAATTCAGCCGCCGTGATGTCGTTGATGGATGGCAGGGAGTTTGCCGCGATGATTACCGTAGTGCCCAAGCGCAACAGTTCCCTGGCCAGCGGTAGCATGCCTGTACGTGCGGCAAGTTCAGGAGTTTTTTTAGTCATCACCACAGGTGATGCGCATGGTTGGCCGGCAGGCGCACCTAGCATGATGTCGGCGCCCGCGTTGTCAACAAACAGGATGGCACGTCGGTATCGGTGGCTGCACATGATTGTGCATTGCTACTTATTGGCTTTACTGGATTCTGCTGCTGGACCGCATGTCACACCCTTTCCCTGCCAACTGTTGTGTGGTCCACGGGCCATTTCCGGCTTGTGCATGCAAAACAAAGAGCCCCAAGGTCAAGAAGCGACAGCAGCTAGCAGCACTAGCAGCACAAATCGGCACAGGCGGCAACGTACCTGACTAATCGGTCGAGCAAAGCTTCTAAATGGTCGATGACCCAGGGGCGTGGGAGCAGCTTATCCCTTGTGGTGTGGAAGCTGACACCGTCCTGCACGATAGTTTGGTCACAGCCTGCCCTGTGAATGTGCTCCAGCGTCCTCAAACACTCAGCAGCACTTTGTTCATCAAAAACAAAACTACCTCATGATAGGCATCGGTTGTCGCTTTGCAGCCCAGGTCGAAAATGTTGCCAGCAAACACGCCCCTCACCACGGTCTCCCAGCGGTCGCGCTGCACAACGCACAGGAATGCAGGTGGGTTGGCTCCAGAAGGCCGCTGCCCGGCAGCCTGTCAAGCTGCGCACCCCAGCAACTCGGTGCTGTACTGTAAGGAACCAAACTGGCCTGCCCACCCACCCACCTGCTGTACGTGTTGGTCCACTTCTGCACAGACGTCGGGGAGTAGCGCCAACGCCGATGCATTTTCCTTGGCCTTGATGGGCAAGAAGATGTCGGTGAACCCTGCTGCAATCAGCGCCTCCTCCCTGCAGCAGTCCCCACCCGCATTACAATCACAGAACCAACGAGGTGTGGACAAGGGGACGCAGTTGGCACGCCCAAGGGCTTGTGGCGGGCAACAAGCACTGCCAAGTGTTTGCCCTGAATGCCCCACCTGAGGCGGCACAGCTCCAGGCAGCCCAGCGCTGCGTTGCCATCGCTGCTGTCATCGCTGCTGCAGGCCCCAAGCGCTTTGCGTTCAATTTCGTTGAGGATGGACAGGTATGCGCTGGCAAACTGCTGCGTGCCGCGCTGCCGGTCGGCGTCGGGTCTCGAGGGGTCTGCCGCGCACAACCGACCGAAGCTACTTATTGATGTCCTGAAGATGTCCACAAAGTTTTCAAGAGCCGGGAACGTTGGCTTGCCACTGCAGGTCATTCCAAATCATTTGCAATGTAACCGGCTGTAGAAGGCATTGAGAGCTAGTAAAAAATCACAAGACAAATCGCGAGGAGGGCGGCGGCGGCAAGGCGGCGGCGAGTCGGCAGGCAGCACCACCCCACTGCAGCAGGATCACCTCCTTGCCAGCTCCGATCGCGTGGAATAGATTAGAGTGTCTGGCCGGTACTCTAGCACATCCAGCAGTTGAGGCAGAGGGACGAGACCGGCGCAGGCGGGCTCAGGGTGCTGGGCTGCTGGGGCCATTGCGGCGGACATGACTGGGACCCGACAGTGGAATGTTCGGGTACGTGGGCTAAATATGCAAAGGGGTGGGCAGGTCACCCTGCTGGCGCCAGCCGTGCGTGCCACCTGTCTCAAGTGCCACCTGCGCGGAGTTTCAGCTTTGAAAGCTTGAGTAGCAGCAACCCTCCAACGTTCAGTCCTGTGCGAGTGCAGCAGGCAATCACCGCTGCCCCTGTTGCCGTTCCGGTTTTTTGTGCCGCACCTGCAGGAGTTTACCCCGCAGCATCCTTTCGCGATGTCCACTCCAAGCATGCTGCCACGCACCATACAGAGCCTGAGCGTCGGGTGTTGCGTGGGGGTGGGAATGGCGATGCTGCCAGCGGCCTACGCAGGCGAGCTCTTCCCCTGGCACCCTTTGCTGATTTCTATAGGCTTCCTGGCTTTGATGACGGAGGGCATCATGGTGCGCACCCGCCTCCTGCAGCGTCGGCACTTAGCGTCCCGCCCGCCCGCCTCGGAAGCACTCCTGCTGCGTGCTGGCCCAGAACCTGCCTGTTGCTGCTCGTGCCTGCAACGCAGAATGCTACGACCCCATTTTTGACTTGCACCCAACCCCCTGCACCTCCCACCCGCCGCGCAGACGGCGGTACGGTTCCGCCCCAACGAGGGCACCACCCGCGTGGCTGCCATCACCAACCACGCCCTCATCCAGGCAGCAGCCACCGCATGCGTGACGCTGGGCTTCTATGCGATTTACCACAGCAAGGCGGGTGTGCTTGCAGAAGGCGCTGCAGTAGGGCGAGTGTATTTGAAGCGTGGGTGTGCATTGTTTTGCACGTGGGGGCGGTTGACAGTGCCGCCTCCCGCCCGCCTCCCATGCTGCAGGACTTGAAGGGCAAGCAGCATTTCACTTCGCTGCACGGCAAGGTCGGGCTGGTGACCTTCCTGCTGGCGCTGGCTTCGCCGCTGCTGGGGGTGCTCAGCTTCCGCCGCCTGGGCCTCATCCAGAAGTTCCCCCAGGACTGGCACCCACGCCTCAAGTGGCTCCACCGCCTGGTGCGTGCTGAGGGACACATGTCTGCACATGGGGATGTGCAGGTTAAGCTGCCCTCTGGCATGCAGGCGCACCAGGCCTCGTGCGCCTTGTCGGCACGTGATCCTGCCCAGCCTCTTGCCACCAGTGATGCCATCATTCGTGCGACTTGCTGGCCCGCAGGTGTCTGCCTATGCCTACATCCTGGGCATGGTGACAATACAGCTGGCGCTGCCCCATGCGGCAGTCTTCACGGGCATGTGGTGCCGGCTGTGGCAGGTGCGAGCTGGCATCGGGCGCATGTGCGGCTACATGTGCTGCCTCACCCTGCACTTCTCAGCTTCCCTGACCACTTCCCCTCTGTCACCGCAGGCGGGTGTGGCTGCTCTGGCCGGCTGCATGCTTTTCACGCTGCGGGGGCGCATCAGCGGGCGCACCGTGCTGCCGTCGTCGGCAGGCACGGTGGCTGCCGCATTTCAGGGGCCCAAGGACCACTGAGTTGGGCATGCCACCCATAAATCTGTCATGTATAACTGCACACTGTGAATTTCAACGGAATTGTTGAAACGTGTACTGCACTCACTTTACATCGCGCGAGCCAGTGCAGCTTGTGAAGGGTGAAGTTATATTACTTTCGTGTCTTTCAGTTTGTTTGTTTGAGGTGTCCAATCCAAGTTAGTCTGGGTGGAAAGATTGGCATTCCTAGCTCTGCCTGCATTGGCAGCCCCAGGCCTGCCTCCTCGCCTCCCCTCTTCCAACACCCACGTGAGCGTGCCAGAACCTCCATGCAGCGGCCGCAGGCCGCCCCACACGGGCCCTCCAAGGCGCTGCTCGTGGGCCTGCTGGTTTTCGCAGCCATCTTGCTTCTGGCCCTTCCCCTGCTCAGCTCGAGGGAGCAGTGAGCACGCTGCTCAACCCCCTATGCTTGCTGGCTGCAGCACCGCCCAACCCGCCCCACCAGCGAGTGCCCACCGTCTCAGTCGCCCGCCACATGCTCCCCACCTGCAGCTCGCCCCAGGGCCCTGCCAACGGCCTGGAGTCCAATGTCAGCGACGTGTGCCTCGTCCAGGTCTCGAATTACCGAGTGGGAGACGACCATCTGGCAGGTGAGGCCCTTGGCAGCGTGGGTGCCCGTCAATCCGCCGACCGACCAAGCGCAGATAGTTTTGCCCCAAAAACCCTTGCAGATGCCAGCATGTACGCCTGGTCTTTCTATGCCCTCCGGCACGGTTATCACTACGTGAGGGTGATTGAGACGGAGGCTGGCTCAAAACCGGACGAAAACTGGCAAGAGCAGAAGTGCTCGATATCTTGGTGCAAGGGTGCTGCCGTGCAGCGGCTGCTGCCGCAGTGCAAGCTGCTTGCCTTGCTGGACATCGATGTCATCATGGTGGATTGGGGCACGCCGCTGGAAGATTTGCTGCACATGTGGAACTTTACAGGCGAGCTTAATCGTACACGTGTCGATTTGTGACTCCACCGTTGTGCCAAGAGTGTGTTTTGGCCGGTCTGCCCTGCAGATAGCTCGCTGATCCTGCAGCCCCTAGACCCTGATCTGCCTTTCAACTGGGTGGAGCTGGAGGACCCCAAGGGGACGGAAACCGGCAAAACGCGCCTGCTAGCAGCCAATACGGGCTTCATGGTGTTCAGGAACAGGTGGGATGCGCTCCGAACCGGCAGTTGGCCCTGATTGAGCAGCTACGTGCTAATTTTTGAGTGCCAACACACTGTTCACCACTGGCATTTCACCTGGCCGCAGCCCTGAGACGCAGGCCATCGTCGAGCGCTGGCTGCGCTGCCCCGACGATGTGCCGGAGTGCGACGGCAGCCGCCACTACTGGCCCTGCGACCAGGGCGCCTGGAACACATACATCCGCCCCACACTGCACCCCGGCCAGCTGGTGCTGGTACCCTGCGCCGAGGCGAATGGGTTCCCCGATGCGCCATCATCGCACAGTGGCGGAACGTGCATGGGTGGCCAGTATTTAAGCCATTACTGGATCGAGAAATTCCGACTGCAGGAGCTGCTCGACGCCACCTTCCATGAAAACGCGAAGGAGGCAGTGCTGGGCTACTTGAGGAGGGAGGGAGACCTGCGCATTTTGCAGTGACTTTGTTGTTCAATGAATACTTGAGTTGCTGCTTTTCTTTTGCTGTACAGAAACATGGCAAGGCAATGGCAGGCTGGGGGCATTGGCAAGGCAATGGCAGGATCGGGGCAGTGGCAATGCGATTGCATAGCAGGGGAATGGACATGCATGTCCTGATTGTTAGCAGCTGAGCAGGCAGGGGGCTGTTCACGTCACCATCCTAGCTCCACGCTGCCCTGATCCTGGTCTTCAATGAAATTGAAGTAAGCAGTGTAGTGCTCCGACATTATCTGAAGACAAGGGAGGGAGGCGGCAGGCAGTGCAGCGAGGGTGTGACACGGTGCCGAGGTCGGGTGATCACGCGACGCAGCGCAGCAGCACGCGTAGCCCCACCCCATGCAGCGCTGTAGCGCACACACCTGCCCAATCGGCACCAGCAGGTAGTCCCTGTTGCGGCCGTGCAGCAGGCGCGCGCCGGGAGGGTAGCTGGACGCGGCGGGAGGCACCAGGTGGATGATGGCGGCATCGGTGGCAGCACCCTGCGGGCAGTTACGGGCGCGGAGAGAGCACAGTCGAAGAGCGCGGCAGCACATCCCTGGAGGCGGTCTGTGCGGGCGTAGCCAACATGGGGCAGCGTACGCACCTGCACACCCAGCTCCTGGCCATGCTCGACCAGCCGCACGCTGGTGCCCGGCTGGCTGAGCGGCTCCAGGGTGAAAGCCATGTGGTCTCCCTCCTCCATGCCCGCTTGGGGGCGCAGCAGGAAGGTCTGGGCAGCAGCGCTGGCCTGGCTGGCGGCACCAGCAGGCAGCTGCTGGCGCAGCAGAAGTTTGCCGCTACTGGGGTCAATAGTCAGGTAGTGGCAGGGCTGGGAGGCTGCAGCAAAGCTGACCAGTTGCGGCTCCTGGTTCAGACCGCCATCGCTGAAGGCAACGGCGGGCTGGGTGAGCAGCTGGCGGGCATGTGGCGAGGCGCAGCCGGCAGGAGCGCCATCCTGGCAGCCAGCGAGCGGCGCAACCAGCTTGAAGGTGGCATCCAGGGCAGAGCCGGGCCAGCCGCCACAGCTGCCGCCCACCGACAAACTGCCGTTGCAGTGGCGCAGCAGCGGGAACGGCGCTGCCGGCAGCTGGGGCTCGGTCGAATTGCTGGCGCCTGCCACACCCAGAGATACGAAGCCCGCAGTGTCGGGCACCGAGACGACCTTCTCAATGCTGGCGGGATCTGCTACCAGGTCGCGTGTATCGTGGGTCAAGCCTGTGAGGGTAGCCAACCGAAGACATGCAAATAATGAGTTGTGCACCAAGATCGAGAACGCCGTGAGTTGCTGCACGCGCTCACACCCCACCCCACGCCAGCCAACGGCCAGCCGCCACACCACAAAGCAGCACGCCTGCCATGACGAAGGGGCCCATCATGATCGCCTTGAGGGACTGCATCGCCTTGCGGCTGTCGTTGAGGTCCTCGGTCACCACCCACATCGGCATGTCGGCCTCAACTGCAGCATGCATGCAGCATGGGAGGAGAACACGCAAGGTCGGCAGCAGGGCACGGGAGCGTAAGCGTGACCCTGCAAGATCAGGGGCTGGCAAGGCTCCGTGGGGGCTGCCGCCAGGCACAGCAACTCACCCACATCCCCATCGCTCCAGGTGCTGCCCAGCGAGCAGAAGCGCGCGCCGGCGCCAAACTGTGGGGGCTGGAAGCCTGCTATTCACAGGCAAGGTGCCATCATCATCAGCAAAATATCAAAGGCAAGCTCTCAGAAAAGTGCTGCCTTGAAGTGCAATTACCAATAACCTCTGCTGCTGCCGCACCTAGCGCATCGTGGGCAGCCGCTGCCGCTCCTTGTGCACACTCCAAATACTCCTTGCCGTTGACACGCAGCATCACCTCATCGCCCTTGGCCCACCTGCAGCAGCAGGGCAAGACCAGAAAGCTGCGTGGTTGGCCGGTACCGTCAATGTTGTGGGTTGACACATGTGTGCCACATGGTGGCAGCAGACGAACGCTGGGGCCGTCACAGCACCCATCCTACCGGGCACATAGAAGCAGCAGGCAACTGCGCACCCGGGCACACGCCAGTTGAGCACAAACTGAGCCTGTGGCTTGTCGCCGTTGGCGCTTCCCTCTGGGGGGTGGATGGCGATGGTGAGGCGGGCAGTGGCGGCGGTTCCAGGGCTGTACATTTCTGCCTCCTGGCGCACCTCCACGCCCAGCTCCCTCCAGTGCACGCTGCTGCTGACCATCTGGTTCACAAAGAGCTGTGGCAGATCCTCGGCCGCGGTGGGGCCACTGCTGCTGGCAGAGGGCGCAGTGCCGGGCATGTGCTTGAAGTAGATGCTACCGGCCAGCGAACTGAAGCTCTCGACGGCTGCACCATCAGCATTTATGAATAAGATAGCTTTTATAGCTGTGAGCTATAACGCAGAGTGCACATGCAAGCACACCTGTACCATAGCAGCACCAAAAGGTGTCCCAGGGCGTGCCCCAGTTCTTGTCATGCCCCACCCCCAGCGGCAGATAGTAAACTGTAGGCAGGGGCCGCACAGTGGCTGTGAGCGGGACGGGACGCAGAAGAGTGACAAGGCTGTTGACAGAGCATGATTCTTACTGTAGACACCGGGGCCGGCTGGCTGGACGCTGTTGGCGTGGGCAGCGGCATAGGGATCATCTTGCCATGACACAATCTTCAGATGGGCGGGAAGATAGGGGGGAAGGCAGGTGGTAAACAAAACAGGTGGGAACTGAAGGTCGGTTGTGGCATGCCCCATGCTGCAGCATGTCATCTTCCACGACACCAAGTGCAGCCGTCAGCACTGACCTGGTAGTTGGCGGGGCGAGCTAGGCCCGAGCCAGGGGCTGCTGGCGCGGCCTCCAGCGTGTCGCGGCGCCAGCCACCGTGCGCCTCCTGGTCGGCATTCAGCTGGCCCAGGTGCGCTGCCATGTGTGGGGGGTGCGGGTGCCGGTGTGCATGGTGGCTGTGCTGGGGGTTGTCGGCGCTGTCCCGAATCTTTTGGATGCCAATAACATCATTCAGGATGGCCCGCTCATAGAAATCGGCCAGGGCTGCATGAGGCGTGCAGGTGCAGGTGGGGCTTAGAGAGTGCTGACGCTGTGTCCGAGATGCACACCGCATGCTCCTACCTGGATCCCCGGTGTGCCTGAACAAGTAGCGCGCCAGCTTGAGGATGTTGTACTGTGTGCACGACTCCTCGGTGATGCGCGATGCGTCCGTCTGCGGGGGCGCAGACCTAGCGACCGCCACATCAGCGAAAACATTAGCCATCCATAGTTCCAGGCCGCCAAGCGGCGGCAGGCATCACTCCCCCGCGCAAAAGTTGGGAACCCTTCACCCACATTGTTGATGGCTTCAGCCAGGCTGTCCTCATTGCCCCAGCGCTCGTACCAGTTGCTGCCGCCGGTGCTGAAGGTGTGGTGCTGCAGAAAAGCACGCCAGCAAATTGGCAAAGGTGAAGGAAGCAACAAGCAGGTAAACAACACCACGCACCTGCAGGATGAGGGCAAAGAAATTGCGCACGGCTGCCATAGCCTCCTCGTCGCCCAGGTGCTCATACCTCGCAGCAAACCCTTGCACCTGTCAATGTATCGGCGTAGGGCAGCAAAGGTTATGGCTCAGCACATCCAGCCACTGGGTACCTGCCTGTTGCCGCCTTGCCTTCCTCCTGCCTTACCTGCGCCAAGTGTGTGTTGGCGTGGAGACCGGGCAGAGGGTCGGTGCCTTCAACCAGCGGGCGGTAGAAGACAGGCTTGTCAAACCAGTGGGCGCATTCTGCGTGATGGTCGTCCGCAGTGACAGCAAACAAGTTGTACAGCACCTGCAGCAGGGCTCAGCGGGTGGGTCAAGTGGTTGAAGGTGGATACAAGTCGGTTGGCAGTGGATAACAAGTATACCTCGTTCATGCCACCGAACTCGTTCTCTAGACAGCGATACCAGTAGTCCTCTCCATTGTTCTCCCGCACGCGCTGCGCCCTACGCACCAGACAGCATGACAGACAGCATGTCCAGCACGCGGGGGGCGAGTCGGAACCGTCTCCTTCTGCCAGCCCGAACACCTGCCAGCAGCCTCGCAGGATCCAACTCACTGCCACACTTGCCAACGTGCAAATTCACCAGCAGCCCCGCCCCTGTCGACCCACCAACCAGCCCCGTCAAACACCACCTGCCGCAAAAGTAGCTGGCCATCTGCTCCGCCATCTTGAGCGCCTCATCCGTTCCTGCCAGCTGGTGCTGATCCAGCAACCCAGCCATGATCTTGTGGATCTGCAAGCGGCGGCGGCAGCAGAGCATGGTGGGTACAGCTTCCATTTGCCTCTGCCAGTGACGCATCGGCGGCATCTACAACACAGATGCACAACACACACCACAGGCCTGCGTGGCAACTCACCACATAGTAGGGCGCCCACACCGGCTGCAGCGCCTCCAGCCGGTCAAAGTGGCTCTCGGGGAAGGCGGCTGCAGGGGCCGGAGAGCACGCCTTACAGAAAGGTTGTGTGTAACGCTCAGGTGCTTCCACCAGCAGCAGGCAGCAGGGGCAAACAGAGCAAGCCCTGCCCCAACTTTTGCCCCTAACTCACAGAGGTACCCGTTGCCAAAGGCATCCTGCACCTTCTTCAGCTCGTGCACCATCAGCTTAGAGCGGTCATAAAACTCGGTACGGCCTGTATCAAGAGGCAAGAAGTTAACGACTCGCACCAGATGCGCGTAAATGCGCTGGCTGCACAGCACACCTGTGTGCAGGGCGGCAAAGGCCACGGCGCTCATGTAGTGCCCGATGAACTGGCCCCGGACCTCGGACTCCGACCACTCCCAGCCGCCGTACGAGGCGCCTGGAGTGGGCAGGCCGGCGTTCTTCCTGCATGCAGGCACAGAAAGGAAGCGGCATTGTGAGATGCGCAGCTGGGGCCTGCAGATGGTTGCTCTGCTGCTGCTGGAGGAGGGGCGTACCGAAAGTTGAACAGCAGGCGGTCGGGCTCCAGCGCCAGCAAGTACTGGCTGGTCATGTTGAAGTTGTCGGCAAACTCGCCATCAGCCGCCAGCTGTTGGGCACCGGGGGCGGCGCGGCAGCATGATGGGCTTTAGTGGTGGCTGGCTGTGAGCGAGGGGCAGGGCGAGCAGGAAGGGGGTGGGGTGGATGCCACACCTGCACAACGGCCAGCGAGAAGCCTTGGATGTGCGGCGGGTCGGCAACTGCTGCTATTGCAAGCAGCACCAGCCCAACCAGGAGCAGTCCAGTCCTGGCCGCCATGACCCTTGCTGGTCTTGAGAGCAGGAAAGGGCCAGCTGAAACGCTTGGCCTGCATCATGCGATCAGGAAAAGATGCAAGTCGCGTCATGCCCGGGGAGTGGCCGCCACAGCTGCTCGCGCGTGATGGACAGCGCCATCCGTGTGCACCTGAGTGCGCGTTGCAATTGAGCAGGCTCACGATCAGACGCGCGGGCGCCGCAATGTGCGTTCTCTGACACAGCCTATGTGTGTGAGGTGGGTGCAGAGAAGTGTAAATCGATGTGCGGGCGCATTACGGAGCATCTGTCGAGGAGGTGTACTCCTGAAGTACAACCACAGACAACCCTAGTCCTCGGGCCTGAGCCCTCTCGGGCCCTCAGACTCGCATTCCTGCATTCTGATTCTGATCCAGTTGGCAATGCTGAGCCCGCCCTCTTCTGTGTCATTGCAGCCGCTAGCGTCGCTGGGAAACACTGCCGAGATCTGGTGCTGCGGCTTGCTGCCGCCGACCACACCGCCGCCACACCGCTGACCGCCAGGCCGACGCACTTACGCCGTGTCCCCCCCCCCCCCTGCACAGCCCACTTGAGGCAACCTGGCATCCTCCTACTTTCCTACTCAAGCAGTAGCGAGTTGAATTATAGTTGCTGCCCTCTGAGTTCGGCATATAATCAGGTAAGGTTTCCGCTGCTGCCAGATATTGAGCTGGCTCGTCCAGACACTGAGCTGGCTCTGCTGTCCTGCTCTGCCGCCAAGGAGTTCGTCAAGAGCACGCAGCGTTAGGTCATGAGTCTGATTCGGGCTTTACGACTTCCACCCCCCCTGGCTGGAGCAGGATGCAGGAGATGGGGCCGGTGACGGTGCAAGCTGGCAATGTGCGGAGACCGTATGCATGTGCCACAGTGCGGCGGCGGGGCGGGGGGCACCCGCCAGCTGATGGAGGGCGGGTTCCGGCGTCGGCCGTCTTGCACCGGCTTTCAAACACGACAACAACTCTTCCGGCCCATGTTCAGCACGACCAAGCCCTCCCAGTTCGCAAACTCCCAAGACCCAGTGGTAGGCCGGTCGCCACCCCCTCATGCCGAGACCCCAGCTCGCACTTCCATCGCTTCGTCCTGACCAATTGCAGCGGCGCGGAGTGGGAGTGAGCCATGAAGAGCCTCTTTGTTTTTGGTCTGCTGCTGCTGGCAGGCAAGTGCTTGCAGCCGCGACCAACAGGCCTGCAGGCCGTGTCGGAGGCCGTACAAGGGCTGCAGATGCCTGCAAGGGGAGGGGGGTGGGCTCGTCCAGCCTTCGGCATGGCTGGGATGGCGGTGCATGCCGCGCGTTGTGCTGAACCCTACCCGGCCTCCCGCTCCTCGGCGGCGAGAGGAATTTGACTTGCGAATCCTGCCCGATGCATGCGAAGGCAACCGCCCCGGCGTGGGAGGCTGGCGCGGTGCGCCTGCCCCGCCTGAGCGCCCCGCGTGCTTGTGCCTGCTCCCGCTGCAGCCGCGAGCACCAGCGAGGCCAAGCCTCAGAAGATTGTAATCCCGCCAGGCTGGGGCAATGGCAAGGGCTACTACGCGCCGACTTTCTACATGGCTTTCAAGAAGGCGGGCCTCAAGCGCTGGACCGCCTTGGTCGATGTGCGTGGGCCCGGGCTGGCGGCAGCCGTGCACGGCACATGCACCCTGGTGCTTGCCTGTGCTCACGATGCTCGACGATTGACACAGTGCATTGCAACCATATGTGCAGAGAGCCGGCCTGAGGAGGTACTTCAGTGATCCCCGCCTGAAGATCACTGCCTGGCCGCCAATGGACTATGCCTTTGATGAGGTTTGTGGGAGGGAGGGCTCGTTATATCTGGGGCTACTAGCTAGTAGTGCTAGTAGTACTGGCTAGCCCAATCAGCCCCAAACAGTGGCTGTGAGGCAGCAGAGCCTTCAGGATGGTGCCTCAGCAGGCACATCACAGCACTCTATCACACTGAATTGATAGAGTGCTGTGACGTCAGCGGTTACACGTCAGCCATGCATGCATCAACTCTTCAGCAGAAACGCCTCTTTAATTGCCTCAAATGTTCTGGGCTGCTTGGGCAAGCCACAATGGATAGATTGGGTGTATTAGCAGCTCCTTCCCAGCAGCTGGCATAGCTCCCCCTGGCTAATGGGTGGCTGAGCCGCATGTTGCCTCCCCAACCTACGCAGATTCTGAAGGACATTGGCTGCACCTTCCCGCAGCTGCTGAAGAACAAGGTCCTCGTCAGGCAGGCACGTAGATGCTGCCGCCACGAATGCTTAGACTGCAGTCGGTCAAATCATGCCCATGTGTCCCGCGTCCTCCCGCCTACCACACCGCCCCTTCCACCCCACCGCACACTAACGCGCATCCACTCCCTGCCGTTGCCTCCCTGAAGCTTGTCCTGTACCACACCACTCCTGGCATGCGCGTGTTCACCAGCTACTGGCCCAAGTGGCCCAAGGCAAAGTACATCCCCAGCGGCCTGACGGCCTTGGGGCAGAAGGGCAAGTGGCTCAAGGTGCGTATCTTCTGGGCGTGCATCCTCTATCTTGTCCAGCACTACTACATTATTCCTGCGAGCGATCGCATGGCACACGGTCTGTGACGGTGTCCTCTCGCCTCTGACATGCATTTCAGATTGAAATGGACGATCAGAAGACTGGCAACCCCGATGATGGTAGGTTATCGCAGAGGCGTTTGTGTCAGACAGCGAACCTGCTGAATACGGCCAAAGCAGGCTGCGTCTTGCAACCGCCGTGACACACTCCCTCTTGCAATGCAGACTGGAAGACTTATGACATCGACGGTTCGGATGATGATGCTGAGCTGGAGGAACGTGAGTGATCTGGAACTGGATGGGTGGTCAAAAGGTCCAGGCACCGAGCATGCCCTTGGAGACAACACCAAATTGCTTGCCCCTGCCTCTTGCAGCCATCATCAAGTATGGCAACCACCTCATCGGCATTCCCACCAAGAGGAACCCGGGCGGCCTTATGTCGATCATTGATGACGTAAGTTGCGCGTCTGGGGGCCAGGCAGGAACCTTCCTGCTTGTGGCGACTGCATGTCAACACTGACATGGCATGTGCAGTATTACAGCGACGCAGTTGAGCCCTCTTGGTGTTCTGCGTCTTATGCCTGCAGGTCATGACGTAAGCCGGCTGGACCTCCTCGCAGCTCTGGTGCCGCCGCCTGCGCCGCCAGCCGTCGTCAGCAAAGGCAGGGACACTGGTCTCTGCCGCCTCCGCAGCTCCCCTCTGACCATGAACCCTCTGCGCACTGCACCCGCAGGTACAAGGGACTGAAGAAGCAGTGGAAGAACAGCCTGAAGAAGCACAGGGGCTGAACAACGTGAACATCGGCATCACGTTTTGCCACCCTGCCACACCCACCCGCTCCTCCTACCACCCAACCCCCCTCTCGTTTTTGATTACCAACGCAGCGGTTCGCTGTGCTCGCCCCTCTGTTTCGACCCATACAACGCATCCCTCCCCTCCTTGAGTGCGCATGATCGACTCATGCGGATGAAACTGACCCGGCCTCTCACATTATGTCACATCCTTCAGAGGCAGTAATACATAT